TTATGCAAGAATGTGCTAAATTCATAAACTATATAAAATCTCGTTTGTTGAATTCCAGAAACTTTACTGCTTTGTGTAAAGAATTAGGAAGTGAACATGAGCATCTCCTATTACACCGTGAAGTTTGGTGGTTATCAAAAAGAAATGTCTTAAAAAGACTCATCGAAATGAAGAATGAAATTATCTTGTTTTATGAGCAACATCCCCCATCAGCAAAGGATGTAATATTTGAATTTAGAGACAGGTTTCATAATTTACATTGGTTAATTAAAGTGGCCTATTTATGTGACATTTTTGGCTTCTTAAATGTGTTAGATCTAAATTTACAAGGTGATAACATAAATATTTTTAAAGTCCAGGAAAAGATAGAAGCAGCTATAAAAAGAATTAACTTGTGGGTACATCGAGTTGAGAAGAGAAATTATAAGTCTTTCTCTACTTTAACAGAATTACAAAACCAAGATGAAGAAGGTAATATTACAGATGATCTTTTCTCATGCTTGAAGGAATATTTTCCTCCAATTGACAGCAGTAAAATGTGGATCAGGAACCCTTTTACTGTTGATATGGAAAATGAGGAAGGTTTATAACTCAGTGAATCAGAAACTGATTCTATTATTGAACTGTCCCGTGACACCGCACTGAAAGACGTTTTAGTCATGTCTCTTCAATTAATTTTTGGCTGAGCTATCATGCTGAGTATCCATATTTATCAGAAAAAGCAGTGAGATTTCTTATGGCCTTTATCACGACTTATAAATGCGAATCAGGCTTCTCAGCAATGGTTTTCTTAAAAAAACAAGTACAGGAACAGATTAGATGTCGAGCTAGACTTAAGGATCAAACTGACTTCTTTTCCTCCTGATTTGAAGTTGCTGTGTGATGAAAACAGCATCATCCTTCTCATTAGGTAAGTTTATTTCTTAAAAGAGTATTAATAAATATTCAGTTAATGTACAGATTAAATAACAATGAAGTATAATTCATTTTATTGATTTTTACACAGTAATACTATAAAACACCTGTATATTTTATAATCACTGATGTATTGCTAGAACTATTGCTTCCAGCTTGATGTTAAGACTTAGCCATGTCTTAGTGGGTTATCCAATTAGGTATTTGAGGAGACTGGTCCTCATGCAAAATTACAAAAATAAACCGCTCCCTAGTTGGAAAAATTTGGGAAATGCTGCTTTAAACAGCCCTAATTTTACAGTTGTTACAATGAATAATGTTGTCAATGTTAATTTTCTTCTACTAAATTCAACATTTTGCCTTAAGCTAACAAATTTCTCTCCCTTCATATTCCAAACATGACAGTTTTCCTGAGAAGCTATTAAGTATCATTCATTACATCCTAATTTTTTGTTAACTTCTTTTAATTCTAGAGAATGTGGATAAGCCGAGTAAGTGGTTTACGATTAGAAAATTACTAATCAATATTGAGAAGTGTAAGATTATACACTACAGAAATTAGAAGTAACTTGTAATTTGGTTGAGATGAGTACAAGTAAAGAAAATCTTTTCAAAAAGGGAAGTACATGTAGGGAAAGCTAATATCAATCCTTACATAATAGCACAGGCACACAGTGTAATAGACTGTTAACAGACAAAAATAGGATAAATTAAACTCAATTGTGATTGAATAGTTATATACATTGCTATATGTTAATTCTTGCCTGTGCTATTATGTAGAGATGATGTAAATGTCATCCCAACTATCTTGCTTGCATTGTTTTTGAAAGATTGATATTAGCCATTCCTACATTTTTTTTTAATAGTGTTTAAACAGACCCAGGAAAGTTGTAGTTATAACCAAGTTCTAAATACAATGAGGTTCCAACTGTAATATTTATTGTTTATCTATTATTGGCTGTTAATTCCTGTTTCACTCCATACTTCAGGTTTTTAAAAGAACATCATATTGCTGTAAGAAAGCTAACTTCAATGGGTAATGATAATATTGTTTACACTAGAATTATGATTTTTTTTTAATTACTACTAGTTATTAATAATACTTACAAAAGCAGATACTTCACTTGAAATTATGTCACCTCAGTGAAATTGGTTAACACTTCTTTTTTGGTTTTGAGTTATCATGTAATAAAAAAAGAAGCAGAAGAAAGAAGACCAAGAAATTTACACTTTTTCTATGATATTTATGGACATTCCCAAAACTTAGTCATTACATAAATACAGGGATAGAAATAATGAAATAAAATTTCATTCACTCATGAATTGTGTTTTTATTTAATCCACACAATATGTTCACTTTCATTGGTCATAGCTAAAGGAATATGGATGGACCATGCATTCCTGATTGGGAAATCCAACTAAAAAGAAGAAATTCCTCAAGCAAAGTTAAATTCCTCAGGAATATAATATTTCCATCCATAAAATATTGTTATAGAAGGAAACTCTGTTTAGTATTGTAAAGTTCTAATGTCCTAGTGAGAAGGTATTTAAAATAACATTTCAATGAACAATCTAGCCATCCCTATATAGGCAGTACTAATAACTGCCTGATTAGGATTAGAGAGGGACAGAAAATAAAGGATTTAGTTGTGATGGTTAAAACTTTTTGCAGGTTCTTAGGTTGTATTAAAATGGAAAGGTTTTATGATGTATTTATTAAGATTGTTTTGTGTTATATAGGTACCTTGCAACTGTAAAGTTTCCTCCACAGCGGTACAATAAACTCGTTTGGTGTTTATGAAATGCTACCAATTTGTTGAAGAAGTTCAGACAAAAGGTTTTGGTCTTAGTCATATCAGACTTATTCTCATAAAAAAATTGGGGGGTGGGGGGGTGGTCCTAAGGTACATGTCTTTAATGGTTATGAATTTCACATAAGCTGCTTGTAAGAGGGCTATTTTAGTCCTGGAAACATAAGGTTTACAATAAGTTGAAGTTTAGAGGCCACAGTTACAAGTTAAAAAAAAATCCAAGTTTAAAGCTTGTTCCCTTCATGATAACAATTTGCATAATAGTTTATTAGAAACTATAGTGGGTTTCATTCACAGATTTCTTTACAGCTCAGATGGAAATGATTTCATTTCATTCTTTCAACTACTTGTTACTGATGTTCTTTCAAAATACAATTCTATATCCTAAAAAGTTACACACAAACACACACATACATACAGTTCATAATGTTGCCTTTAAAAAACAATTTAGTTTAAATCTACCTTGTTCGTGGGTAATGAGTAAGTCTGGTGTTCATAGTACTTGGACAGACTGTTGTAAGATGAATACAATGATCTCTTCTATCAGCATACACCTCCTCAGCCAAAGCAGCCATGAAACCCACAACTCCAAATTTTGAAGCACTAATCAATACAGAAAAAGAAAGCATAATTTAATGGATATCTGAACAAACTCGTCAAAGCACTCCAATTTAGTTTTCAATAAATACTTTTTTGGGATATATGCACAAAGTTATTGAAGACTGGTCTGTGCTCAGTGTCTATAATTTTGAACTGACAAACTATAGGGATGGCAGCTAGACAACTGCCAACTCTTTGGATGTCTGTCTGATCAAATAGTGGAATTTGACCATCACCATTATAACACGGCCATGGCTCCAAAGTGCAGAACGTGATTTTTATATTTTACATGATTTGCTACGTACATCCCAGGCAAATAAGAAAACATACCACCAAAAACAGAATAACTTAAAACAAAAGGTTATCCTTGATTGAGAACAAAAATTCAGATAAAATTATTTGAGTGAAAATGAAGAAACAAAAGAACTTTCATAATAATTTATTCCATATTTTTGGTATCATGTTTTCACACAGTGTTTCAAGTCTATCTTACAAAGTGTAAATATAGTAGGAACCAACATCAAATTCTGAACATGGTTGACCATTTGAAAATCTAGAAAATTAAAGAATCCCTTTACATTAAATTAATCTACACTCCTTTGTTACCAAACAACTCGGTTTGAATGATGGCATGACCACACGGTTGCAGATATGGTTGCTCACCCAGGGGAACACAAAATAACTTTATTACAGACCATGCCAACTATAAAAAAAGATACTACATCATTAACAACTTTGACTTAAGCCTGAAAAAACATTTCAGTATAGAAACTGGGGCATAGTCCTAGTCTAGAAACAGACAGAAGCAGTCCATTACAGCCAAATTTCTGCTACTTTCACACAGTTTATTATTTTTCAGAATTTGTACAAAGTTTATATAATCATATTAAGCATATAATCTACTAAATCAATATACATAAAATTTATAGTAATACTATGGCTAGTCTGTTTGTTTTTTAGCATAATACAGTACTCCCAATTCATGGTTAAATTATAAAATATGCTAGATTACTTCAATGTTAGTTTCTTGTTTTTTTCTTGTGTGTGAGAGAAAATTAAAGCTGAAAGTTTATTTCAACTGTACTATTAAAAATACTTAGAAGAGAATCACTTCACACAGATGGATCTGTCATTTTCTGTGGTAGAGGAACATAAACTGAAAAACAGGAAGACTGACTGGCTGTGTGTAGACCAAAGTCACATGTTAATAATGTTGAAGTGGATCTCTTTACTAATATAAGGGGAAAATAACAATTTGAAGGTTGAAGAAAAGCTAATCAAAACACAGAACAGCTTACCAATGCAATCCATTATCTATTTTTATAAATTTATATATTTTTTATCTTTTATACTCAAAACAGATACAAATTTTTAAATAGTAGAAAATTAAAGACAAACTTGTAATCTGTTCATACAGAAGACAATATGTTTATACAATTTTATAAAATACAATAAAAATAATGGGTAAAAATTAAATGACTATTACCAATTAGGAGTAAAAGTATTAAAAATATGTTACAGAATTTAAAAGATGTAACATAAAAAAAGACATGTATACACAAGTTAATATTAACTTCTGATTAGAGCAACCTACAGCACCTACTTAGATCAAAACTAAAAATAGACCCAGTAATGAGTATAGCTAATTAAATATAATTTTATTAGATTCTTACTTATAAATATTAGAATGCGTTGTTTCATCAGAAGGGCAGCAACTAAAAGGTTAAAAGTTAAAAACTAATATTCATATGACAGAGAAGGTATTAAATGTTCATAGACAACGATGCTGGAGTCAAGGTTAATGTCATAGGGTTAACAGTATTAAGGTTGGGCAATCAGTAAAATTCTTTATTTACCTGCTTTATGTTTTAGATAAAATGACTGGATTTGTTAAATGTCCGTTTCAATGTTAACAGAAAATGTATGGTTAATAATACAATTTTTTACACGACATGAGATGCATGGTGTTTCATGTGGAGCAAGTGTATTTTTTTTTTTTAATTTTATAGTTGTGCCGATTGTGTTTGTCGTAGAACAATTTGGTAGTTTTTTTAGAAACTTTCAGGTATGACAATGAAATCTATTAAAAGAACAACAACCTTTCTTTATTTATCAGGTTTTCCTTTAGTGCGAGTTATCAACCTTTTTGATGCTACTTGTTTTTAACTGTCACGAAAAAGGAACAGGACCTTGCCTGTCAATAAAACAAAATTGTTTCAGAACTTTGGACAGAGGCCTCACAGGTGCATTAAGCTATGGTAATGACTATATCCATGTTTTAGAGTAATTATGGAATATTTATTTTAACATTCAAATTTCAGATGACGCTGTATACAACAAAATAATATAACACATAATGTTTGATAGGTTGTTTAGGCAGAGTATTCGTAATAAATCTATGTTTCAAATGGACAGCAACTGCCTGTTGTAAAAACCTATAATACAATACTTAATCTTTGATAGGTTGTTTAGGCAGAGTATTCGTAATAAATCTATGTTTCAAATGGACAGCAACTGTCTGTTGTAAAAACCTACAATACAACACTTAATCTTTGATAGGTTGTTTAGGCAGAGTATTCGTAATAAATCTATGTTTCAAATGGACAGCAACTGCACCTGTTGTAGAAACCTACAAGACTTTCGAAACGCTGTCCTCTACATTTGTAGGTTTCTACAACAGGCAGTTGCTGCCCATTTGAAACTTAGATTCAATACAACACTTTTTAATCATATGATAGCAGAATTTGTATGCAATTAATGTTACATACTTGAATAAACTTTGGCTTAATTTTAGTTGAAAACAAATGTATAATGAAACCTATTTTTCACATATTGTACACCATCATCTGCCTATAAATGCATGCAAGCTTCTATATGCAAAACTACCACGCACACAGTTTCACATATATAATTTATATATTGAAGGATCTTGTGATACTGCTTTTATATGCATCCACAAATGATATCCTTACCAGTAATCTACAAGATTAGCACATCCAAGTATTCCTGCTATAGATGCTATAGCCACAATGTGTCCATGTCCGAGCTCCAACATACGAGGAAGAAACTGTCTGACAGTCTGAAATAGTTAAAATAGTTATTTTTAAGTAACTATTTTATTAAAGATATGATTGTCACTATAAACATTAACATTAAAGTCTGTAATTTATACAGACTAAAACATATGTATACAGTTCTTATTTACAGGATAATTTTAATGACCTAACAATATAAAATAATCTCACCTATCAAGAAATATTAGCAACAAGAGTATCACAAATACTCTAAAAAACTTAATTGTTACATCTAAATCAATTATTTTTCTCACTATACTTGAGACCCTACAGAAGCATCTAATATTAAAAATACAATAACTGGTTTAAACTACTTTTTGGTGTGGTTTTGGCTATAGTATTACTATGAGGCAATCCTAGAACACTCTACTAGAGAGTAGCATGTCGCATGGTAAACCGATTGCATGTTTGAAACATGTCGTTATATTGAAATGTTCTGACACAAAAAGGCAAATCAATAGTATACAAAAAAACATAAACAAATAGCCCTATGTCAAAAGTTACAATTGTACACTTAAATTATGTTTGAAAGGTAATATGGTGACCTAAATGTACCCATCTGCTTATTTTTTGTGAAGCTGGGCAATTAGTGGAATTTGCTAATCAATTAATCATCAGACTCAATCAATCAATTATATTCAACTTATTGATTATTCTCACATGAGACTTGAATAATTGTAATGACTAAAAATAGTAATAATCAGAAAAACTAATTCTGATTAGTTGATCATTTTTTTAGAATCATGACATTAATCAATTAAGCTCAACAACCTAGAATTAATTGACAATAATAATGAGAAGTCATAACGACAATATTTCGATTACTTGAATGATTGGAATAATTGAAAACAGTGATAATTGGAAATACTAACTTTGATTAGTTATTTTTATAACATTAATTGATTTAATCGTTATTTCGATTAAACAATTATTTAAGCTGACACTAATTGACATAATTGATGTTCATAGTAAATCAATTATATTGACTAATCAAGTTAATTGGTCAACTCTAATTTCTATTTCTTTTCCTAAATATATTGCACAGTTCTTTAGAGTATACTTCTTTTATCTAACAAACTGTCACCCACTCGCATTCAAGACAATACTGTGTGTGACTATTTTACATTCTTGATGAATATAGTAATAATTCAGAGACCCTTTCTTTACATACACACCACAACTTTTTAACTGTTAAAAAACACACTATAACTGTCTCATAATGAATTGACATGACTGTTGAATGTTTGCCACTGAACATACATTGTAATATTTCAAAAACAGATGGAATACAAGTTTATTTATAAGCCACTTAATAAGTGAGTCTGAAGGATTAAAACAGTTTTGTATTCTCTAAAATTTTGTATTTTATACATGCAATTGTACACTCTTGTCAGTAACACTAACAGGAGTATTAATATAATTCACACACCAAAATACAGAAGTTTTAGTACACAGTACTTTGTAATAAATACACTGTAATGTATTTGTATTTATAGCACAGTTACTAAGGCTATCTGCCATTATCCCAAATTTTGATAAGTAATGTATTTGTATTTATAGCACAATTACTAAGGCTATCTGTCATCATCCCAAATTTTGGACTAATGACAAGAAGGAAGACACAAAGTCAGCAGCATCCTACCATCCACACTAAGGGATCGATTGTTACTCCTATAATGCACATGCAGCTTAAGTAGAGGGCATATTTTGTGGATTCAAACCCGATTTTCAAGCTGCAAAATCCAACACTACTACCACATGGCCAACCCATACCAATGTTTTATATTGAATGACTGCACCATGACTCCTAAGAATGCGTTATAGAAAAGAAATAATTAATATTAGATCTAATAAAAAATTTGTCTCAGACACACATAAAGCTGTATTTTGTAGACAAAGAATTTTTTGTGATAATCTCCACAACAAAAGCTAATGAACTGGTATTATTTTGTTTCCCAGATAGACAGTATTCTAAATGAATGGGGGCTTGTTGGTAGCGAGGGTTTTATTAATTATTTTAAGGTAAAAACAAATAGTTACTAGCAGTTTTAGGCACATGCAGCCAATGCAATTGGATAAGGTCCTGAGTCTGCAAGGAGCCCCTTACTGCCATGTGTCAGTTATGTTACACATTTGAATCAACCTATCAACAAATCAAAATTAACCTTCAAAGTACTACAAGCCTAAGAATCTCACCTATAAACAATGCACTTATTGATTTTTTTTAGAATGTTTCTGTCCATCCCAAACCATAAACTTATATAAAAAAGTTTTATCCCTTGAGAATGTAATTATACATGTTCCTGTTTCTCATGTGACTTTTCTTTCGCTTTCATTAGTTTTCTTTGTATTAGCATTGTGTTGCTAGTTGCTTCCTTATTAATCAAGTTATTGTTACCATTAGCATTTCCAATGCAAAATATTAAGTAATCTGTGTGGATATGGTATATTAGATATGTGTAAATTGGTTACGCTCAACCTGGAATGTCACAGGTGTGTGCATCACATCATACTGATATTAACATTATAAGTAGTAGTTTGGAGGGTCTCTCGGGTTATATTAGAATAGTACCATTGTGTGTATTTTATTACTCATCAGTAATATATATTGTTTGTTTTGTAATTAAGCACAAAGCTACACAATGGGCTATCTGTGCTCTGCCCACCACAGGTATCGAAACATGGATTCTAGCATTGTAAGCCCGCATACATACCGCTGTGCCACTGGGGGGCAGTAATATATATACATATATGTTTAAAGCTACAAATGTTCTTATCTTTTACTTACTTTCTTTTATGTGTAGGCTTACAATAATGAGATATAAATAACACAAATAAATGTTAAAATAATCATACAGCTGATCACGATCACTGTGGCTGGCACATCAGTTGCTCGCAATGGAAGCGAGGCTTGCTGATGTGACAGCCAAATTTCTGGCCTTGTTTTGGGTTTGGTAGAATTCAATACTAGAGTCCATCTGATTGGTCAAAGTGACAAGAATGTAATCATATTTATTACCTAAAACATGAACAGATATTACAGGTGAAAATGGCAAATGAGCTACTGAGTCCAAATGTATTGTTTTTAAGGACGGACACACTTAAATGAATATATGAACTTATATACATAAATCTCGTTTATTATAGAGGTTTTTGTTTCATTTTATATAACTCTTATTTGGTGGTTATTTCAAATATTTATTTCAAACAGCTCTTGTAACCCAGAGATCAGAAATCCATTTTTACATTTGAATAATTCAATAACATGCTCTGTATTCTTAATAGTAAACAGTTGAACCAAATAAATATCAAGCAATCTTGGAGATTCCATAGTTGTCACAATAAAGTTCCTAAGATACAACAATGACATAATACTAGAGCTGTGTGATTAGTGGTATTTGTTGATCAATTAATGAAAGGGCTCATTAATCAATTACATCAACCACTCCTCACTATACTGAAATGTCTAACTCAGTTATAAATTATTAATTACTTACAATACAAAGTTTTACTCTGTATTCCATTCAAAAATCAAAGACAGAATTAACTCTTTCAACCATTAATTTTTACACATTCTGACAGAATTATTTTCATTATGTCCTAATAATTATCACCATACCTTATAAAATTTTTTGTCTATTTATAAAAGGTGGATAATAACAAGGTTTGGATAAGTTTTCAGTCAAAGAGATGTAAATTTTATCGGACGCTGTGACTGTCTGATGAATCAATCGGAATTTTTGGCCAGACTTAATATGCATATTTAATATTCAGTTTATTTATAAAAGGTGGATAATAGCATGGTTTGGACAAGTTTTCAGTCAAAGAGATGTAAATTTTATCGGACGCTGTGACTGTCTGATGAATCAATCGGAATTTTTGGCCAGACTTAATATGCATATTTAATTTTCAGTTTATTTATAAAAGGTGGATAATAACAAGGTTTGGAGGATAAGTTTTCAGTCAAAGAGATGTAAATTTTATCGGACGCTGTGACTGTGTGGTGGATAAATCAGAATTTTTGACCAGAGTTAATATGCATATTTAATTTTCAGTTTATTTATAAAAGGTGGATAATAACATGGTTTGGACAAGTTTTCAGTCACAGATATGTGTTATCTGATGCTATCACTGTCAGATGGGTAAATCAGGATTTTCAGACAGATGCTGGCAGCATCCGTTCAGGTTTAAGGAATTAATTCAGTGAATATATAAATAATGTATGTAATTTGCCAACATTGTGAGAGGGCAAACATTCTCAAACAGTTTTATTTTCAGTTTACTTACTGAATGAATGTTGATTTAAATACCCAAACCTTCTTTACCATTAAAACTTGTGTACTTGAGAATGATCATACCAGGATTGAAATGTCATACATATCTTAAAAGTATTCCTCCTTACTGTAAAAGCTTTGGCTTGTAATAAAATAATTCTTAAACAGTGTAAGCAAAATTGTCACTGGTAAAATTAAATTGTTTAGTTAGGCTACTGGCCCTGTTCCACAAGTTGTTGTATTTATTTTGTACAAATAGGATCCAAATCACTTACATATAAATCACTTGTCTTTTTTGTTTTTTTGAGAAACAAAGGCATAAATTTTACACGTGCATGTTTGTAAAAGCTCTGTACATGCAAGCCCTTGCTACAAAACTAGCTGAAGATACTTCAACTATTCTGTTTGTCTAAGCCCTAGAATCTAGAACCTAGCACAGAAAGAAAATGTTATTTGAAAATGGTTGAATTCTATTCTTACCTTTTAACTCTATCAATTTTTATTTGTTTTTTGTTTGTTTGTTGTTGTTGTTTTTTTTTTTGGGGGGGGGGGGGGTTAAATACTATAGTTACCTTAAATTTTAACACTTAATTTATATAGGACAAAATTAAAACAATCACATTATAAGTGTAACAACAATACGCCTATGTTTGTTACACACTGCCATAGCTCACTCTTGTAAACTATCCTGACCAATTATATATTTCAAGCTTCAAGTCTGCTGTACTGATATCACTGTAAATTACATTTACTAAAAAGATGATGTAATTATTACTTTCAACCATATCCTTCCACCATGAAAACATATCACCCATCTTAATAAAGCTACAAAGTTATAAACTCATCTTACCCAAAAATGAGAGAGTGTATTGATTTCAAGGGTTCGCCGAATTTGCTGGTCGTTCAAACAAAGAAGAGTTTGGCAGTGCATGATTCCAGCATTATTGATTAAGATGGTGACATCTCCAACTTCTCGTCGAACTTCATTAGCCACAAACTCCACTTTCTGTTCATCTGTGACATCACAATGGTATGCAAACACGACCCCACCTTTTCTTCTAACATCTGCTGCTGTTCTTTCAACAGCTTTCTAACAGTGGAAAACAAATACAAAAAAATTTGTTCTGTAGTTTAACTGAAGAATTATGAGCATAATGTATGCACACAAAGTTTAGTACTGAGAGGAAAAAATAAAATTATCTGAACATGGAAACTTGAGTGTTAAGTTACCCAAAATATGGGCTTCATATTTTTGGGTTATTATAATTTAATTTTAACAAAACATATCTCCTAATGACAAACCAGAAAACGGCAAGATTTCAACAATAGTGTGCAATAACTTATGCATAATTTTCAACCAGCATAAAAATTTAATGTCTTCAAGAGGAACCATTAGTTTTTATTTATTTTGGGGATGGGAAGGGGATTCAAAAATTCTCTCCCCCTTCAATTTCTGTTCACAGAAAAATAAAAACTCCACTAAAAATGAGAGTAATTAACAATTATATATTGAAGCTTACTCAATTAATTTGTGGAAATATATTTCATAACAGTTATTCTGTCGACATGAATGTTTTTATAACTGATAATGCTGTATACAATAATGTCTTAAAGCATATTTATTCTTGATACAATGAACTATCTGAATGACAAGAAGTATTCAACAGGACACTGGACTTAGAAAAAACAAAAGCATTTTCAGTCCTATTTCACAGATTATAACCAGAATTATGGCCATTAAAATGATGTCCAGCATACCAACTAGAGAGGATACAATCACTACTGACTTTACTGATAATTAATTTTCTTATACAAAGAATATGTATACTAAAAAGCCTGAAAGTATCACGCACAGTATACGGTGATAAATGACAGTTCTATGAAGGATTTTATCAATAGCCTGGAGAAAGACATTCTAATTTAATTACAATAGATAATATAGAAACACCTTGTTATAATTCTTTTGTACAAATACAAAAACTAAAATAAACATCCATACGTCCTTAAAAAGTACAAAGTTTAATTAATTCCAGGTGTGAAATTCTCATACAAAAGTAGAGGTACTCAGCTGAGTGAAGTGGACCTGTTTTTTTAAAACAAATAAAAGCTACATGTAAACATAAAAATGACAAAGCAGCTCAAATGAGGCCCAGTACTAGTACCACTTTAAAGAACAAGTTCCGAGACTAAGTACTGGTGAGTACCAGCAGAATTTCACCAGTATCATCAATTAAATATAATACCTACAGAAAGAACATTTAATTTAATGCAGAGAAGTGAATTTCTTACACAGAAAAAACAGCTCCCTTTAAAAAAAAACAACTGTCATAATGATGCAATGAAATTTTACTCCACGATAAATTTCCAATAATTGGATTGTCTTTTCTTCAAGTAAAAAACCCCAGTTTTCAAACTATATGTCAACAAACAGAGATGAGGACTTCAATAAGTTAAGATATTTTGTGATGAGTAGGATCTATGGCCATTTTTTTTTCAGTGGAAATATCACAATACACGAGATTCCCACAGGTTTTAGTAAACATAAGTGAAGAAAACATCACTGAATCAAATAATAATAATTCCAAATCCATGAAGAAAACTCTGTCAAGGACATTTAATTAGAGATGGTTTGGTTAGTAAGGTTGGTTGATGCATAACATAAAATTATTGCATGAAATATAAAACTTGTGTAGACTCCAAAAATTGCAACATGTTTTCCCTATCTGAAAACAATAGTATCAGCATCCAAGCATTTTGGTTCATTTCAAATCAAGGAGGATAAATTGGTTATTGAAGCACTAAAAGGAAAAATGTATCTTTACTGAACATAGTCCATACATTGGTACTATAGCTGTTGAAAGTGTAGATGTTGCCACTTACAAAAACGTTTCATAAAGTTGTGGATAAAGAGCAGTCTAGGATTCTCTTTGATGGTGACAGTGGAGTACCAAGAAGGATATGATACAATCACTTCATCTTCCATTAACCTTATGAGAGAATACAACATTTCATTTACTAAATTAATATGTTTTGCATCTGATGAAACTAACACAATGGTTGGAAGACTACATGGTGTTAGCATACAACTAAAGATTACTCATCCTTATTCATTAGTGTGAACCCACAATGGTTGAAAAACTAAGTGGAGTTATACAAAACTAAAGATTACTTATCCTTGAATCATTAGTGTGCTCTGTGCTGCTCATAAATTAGAATTTGCTTCTTTTTATGATGCCAAGGTTATTCCACATCTTATGCTATTTCAGAAAATAGTTAATGGTGTTAAAATGGGAATACCTTAAAATGTTAACAATTACGAACACATTAACTTTGTTTAGTGATGCTCTGAGTGTTATAGGTAGATTATCAATCTTTTCAAAGAGAGAATACTGATATTGAAAACAATGAACAATTTTATATATATATAGTATATATATATAATATAATAGATGGGTTGGCCTAGATGGATCAATAGGTCCCTAATTGTTCTTAAATGTTATGTTCAACTCTGAGATCATACACAGATAATCCTGACCCTCTTTTGATGAAGCTTTCAAGTTGATTGATAATGAAAGTGAATACTATTATGGTGTGAAACTAGACTTTTTCAGACAAACACACTGATTAAATGATAAAAAAGGATACATTAACAATTTTAAAGATAAAATGAATTAAAGATTTGTACCAGAGGTACTTATAAATTACCATATCTTAATACAGTTTTAAATCCCAAACATTTACCAAAATCACATGTTAGCATTGTTGCACATTGGATGAAAGAATTAAATCACATTTTTCATCATTATGGAGTAAAATATTCTTATGGTATCATCCAACCTTCAATGCCTAATCTGGAAAGAGTGAAAAATTAATTTTTTGCAGTTTAAATTTTTGAAAAGTTAAAAAGAAAAAATCTAAGTCTGAGTGAAATGTCTAATTTGATAATAATTTATTGTGAAGACAAGTTTTTTATATTTCTGCACTCCTGCTTCTCTCTCCATTGCTACTACCCTTGCATACGTAGCATACGAAAAAAGGTTTAGCAACCAAAACAGAATTAAAAAAGTAAATCCAGAAATCAACTTGGAATCAACATGTAGAAACAAACCTTACATTCTCAAGAGTGCTAATAGTATGAAACGTAAACTTGTAGACCGTGCTACTGATTCATTTGTGAAAAGAAGGCAATGTAACTAAGTACATTAACTTAAGCAACGTGCTCTTCATTTTTCTTTTGCCATTTGTACTTGTTAAATAATTGTTTAGTCCCAGTTGGATGGCCCATAAAATTATATCTTGTACATAAATTTGAATGTTTAGTAAATTTGATTATTACACGTACTTAATGTTCCCACACAAAATACAATAAGCTGCAAAAAATACTCTACTGGAAAGAAAAAGTCTGATCAGGTAAAAGAATACATGAAGAAAATGTTGAAAAACATAAACGTCATTTTAAATTAAATATATTAATTAAAAAGAATAATTATTTTTCATATTGTAAATACCCCAACATGAGAAAAGACAGGATTTCCCATTGGAAAATAAATTTATAAAGTTATTTTTGTTATTGGCTGAAATGCAGTTTATTTTACCATGCACAAAAAAAATGATTCACTAGTGATTTGCACACAATCTTTTTTTCTCCTCTCCCTTATAGATAATGACAAATCCCTTAGGTTGTTTGACACAATAAAGTTTTAAAACTAAATTATGAGTTGGTTACTAAGTGGTTAATAAACTGCACTACATTTCATTCAAAAGTTTTCTATGGAAATTCACTTTCATTTAAAATTCTGTGTTTATGTACAGCCTTGATAGTTCTGTTAACATTCTCTTTCTTGCCCTAAAATGTTATGTCAAATATTTCTTGTATCTAAACAAAATGTAATCAATGTGAGAAGAAGCAGACATTCACTGATTTAGATCTACCTTCTCAATTCCAGTTTTATTTAATTATATTTAACTTTTTGGATGTTTTTTTTTCCCCTAATGTAACTTACTTTTAAGAAAAAAATACTTCTTGAACAGAAAATATTTGAATTTTTCATGATGAATGTTAATACAAACCTGATCAATATCCCATAAAACTAATCTCACTCCAAGGTCAGCAAGCTGAAGAGCTAGTTCACGCCCTAAACCGTGCCCAGCTCCCGTGATAAGTGCATTTTCGCCCTCAATTGACTTGTGAGCACGTGGAATGAACATATAAACAAAAGCTTCTACAACTGCAAAAGCTGCTTTCAAAAGGAGTTGAAATACCTCCACTAAAAGAAGGAAAATGTTGAATATGTACACAAACATTTTAAGCAACTACTGAACTAGTAACCACAGTAAGAATTAAAAAATGAGAAGAAAACGACGAAAACTTAGGCCTACTAGTCTAGTAAGTACTAAGAGGTTACTTACTAGTTCTAGTAATAGTAACTTAAGTATGAACCACAGACCCAAAGTTCCACCACAGTAAACAAACACAGTCTCTTTCCTTAGCTGATTTGGCAAAGCGAATATATCTCATGATATAATATCATTGAAATTTAACAACTTTTTATACATATCGGTATGAAGAAACACGTTTTCTTATGTTAGTTGTAACACAGTAATTTTGTCTTTTAGCTCTAACTTCTAGAGGATTATATTTAATTAGCTGTTAGTAGTGCCCAGCGCACGTCTAACAGGTGACACGTTTTCCAAAATGGCTGCGCAGATTCGACTCATTTTTGTAAAAAAAACCAACAAAAACACACTAAACTCGATAGTATCTTTTTCGAAATTGCAGGTTCACAAATGCGTGCTTATTTTCAAAAATGGAAAGAAAATTCCATGGACTAAGTAGCTCGTACAAAGTTTGGAAATATGTAGTCACTTAAATTTTTTTAATTCTTGAAAATTTCACTATTCTGGTAGAAATATTCCGAATACTTATATCAATTCGGCATTAAGAAATAAGTCCATGGTTATTACTAGGGTAAAAATAATAAATGAATTAGTCACGAATTTCCCCTTCCATGAATAGTTTAGAATATGTATCTTTATTCAGGTTCATCTATGTAATATTTTAAAATTTGTTTAACTTTCCATGCAATTTTCGTTATACTTTTGCCATCCTCGTTGACCGGATGTCTCAAGGTCGTAAACATGTGCTACTCTATTTACACAGTTAAGATTAAGGGCCTACATACTGCAATCTTTGCTCTCAATTCTCAAGGTGGTTTACATATGTGTTCTTGTATGGATAATAACAAAAACTGGCAAGAATTTTGATTTGAAGTCTTCCGAGGAAAAACTCGGAAGACAACCGGGGGTGCTCGGAAACTGCTATTCTCCCTTTCCCCGCTCGAGGTTATGATAGAGGCAATACGTTGAATTTGTGATTTTATGGATTCATGTAGTTTCCTTTTAGATAGTTGGTTTCCTGTTTTGATTCGCTTTTCTTATGCTCCTATAACTTCAATGCCTAAAGAATTAGATGTGGGGGAATCGAGAGTGCCCCGAGAAACCCCACTTCCACTGGATAGGCGCTGAACAGTCTACCTAATGAATGCCCGATTGAACTTGAAGGTTGTTAAAACAAATTGGTCGTGGAGGAGGAAAGTATGAAAGACGTAGAGGTATATTACTGTGGCAGAGAAGTCAACTTGCTGCGAATTATTGCTCTGACGAAGGAGTTTTGATAGGGACTGAATTGTTTTGAGGTGGGTCTTCTTTGTCACTAGATGGGGGACAGAAGAAAGAGAATTGGATGTGGGGTTCGTCAGTTTGTTTGTTCAACGATGGAGAAGATTCGGCGGAAATGTCGATCAGTAGAACATTTGGTGAGTTAGGTGACAGTAAAGGACGAAATAGTTGCAGAAAGCTTGTTTTGTTGAGTCTATTGTTACCAGCTGAATATAGTATTCCGATGGTGTATGGCTTTTTTCTTCGCACAAGCGATGTTTGAGTTGCCTTGTATTGGAATATATTATTGTTATTAGACGTTGTCTGGTTTTTTTTAGCCCTTTCCTGTTGGTTTTTTCGTGCTGTGGGGTTTAGTTTCCTTGTTTGTGGAGAGTGCTGGCGTGAAAAGATTTGTTTTGTTTTTGAATTTCGCGCAAAGCTACACGGGGGCTATCTGCGCTAGCCGTCCCTAATTTAGCAGTGCAAGACTAAAGGGCAGGCAGCTAGTCATCACCACCCACCGCCAACTCTTGGGCTACTCTTTTACCAACGAATAGTGGGATTAACCGTCACATTATAACGCCCCCACGACTGAAAGGGCGAGCATGTTTGATGTGACGGGGATTCGAACCCGCGACCCGCAGATTGCGAGTCCAGTGTCCTAACCACCCGGCCATGCCGGGCCAGCCTGGCGTGAAAAGTACGGATGAGATCTGTTAGTCAGGTGTGGAGGCGGTTGGGGCATACGATACGGTTTTTTCCAATCTAATCTGGAAGAAGTCGAGAAAGCATCTGTGAGAAAGAATAAATTATCCTGTTTGTTTAGAGGTAGTAACAACTTTTATGAAATATGTAGGATTTCCTGTTTTTCTTGATGTGATTCGATGAACAGCGAGAATTTTGATGTGCGTATCTTTTGCTAGGGCTTGGTGTATCTCTTTGGTGGAGAAGGATTGATTCACGCTTCTCAGAAAAACTGTATGAAGGCTGGCACTGCTTTTGGGGGGTTGGCATATCATGGGTGGGTTAGAATTCCATGGTTGACATATATAACTTAGGTCGTCAGGAAACTTTGGTTGTAGGACATAAACCTGTAACCTGGCTTGACTTACGAATGCATGTAGACCATTGGTTGAAGTATATAATCCGTGGATTTGTGAGATATTTGGGTTTCTTTGTTTCCATAGATTAGGTTTGTTTGTAGTTAAGTACGAAGCTACTCAGTGGGCTATCTGTGCTATGCCTACCTCGGGTATAGAAATCTGGTTTCTAGAGTTACAAGTCGACGGACATACCGCTGGGGAGGATGGAGGCAAAATAGTTAAGTATTTCGAAAGTATTTTGAAATACAATCGTTATAGTTCTAAACTATAATTAGCTTGGGGTAATATAAACCTTTTTTAAAACAAGCATACTATTACAGTCTCTATTCTCTGCCCAAGTTGTACGATGTCTTATCTACAAACACTGATCCTGGGCTTGATCGTGTTTTCAATGCTTTATAAGTAACACTGTCCCACTAGTATGGAGTGTTCCTTTTGTAGAAGTTGTTATTTCTGGCTTTGCTCGATTATGACGAGATGCTTGAGGGTGCACGCGCTGCCAGAAAGCTTGACACAGTTGTAAAGGTTTCCAGACTGCTTTATACAATTTTATGTTCCAGGTTCACGCACCTCTCACGTGAGGTGATCACTGCAGACATTATGTCTCCTCTGTCAGGTAGAGATGACATCCACGATACAAGTAACAAAAGCAGAATCTATATAAAAAAATATGAAAGTTTCTTGCTCCCTGCCCCAGAAAGCAAGCTGCATTGGAGGGGAAGACAAACAAAGCAAATGCTAACTATAATTTGCTAACTATATGGGAATACTAGATTCCCCTTATTCCCCTTATTCTAGTTGCTTTATGGACATAGTATAAAACGTTTCTTTGCTATATTATTGGCAGCTATTTCAATTTAACTTATGTTATTCATTTCAATGCTTAAATGAATGTGCAAATTTACAAAATCCTTTTCTGGCTCTTCCACTAGCTTATGGCTCTTACAGGAATTCAAAATATGGTATATAACATCAGCACACCGTCTAATAGAGCAAGTTATCTTACAGTCCAAAAAAAAAATAATAATAATATACTGATAAGAATTCAAATTCGATGACGAGGAGCCCACTTTGAGACTAATAATGCTTGGAGACCTGATTATGACAAAACCTTGTCGAAACGTTGTACATTTGCTGTTATGTTAAACTTATATCAAACTACCTAGTCTAAATCCGGCACTGCCGGTGTTGCTTTTCGTTGGCTATGAAAACTTCTATGATGGACGTGACACTTGCGACTTACAGTTTACTGTATATGTGCATGCGGCAACTTTTTCCTTTTAAAATAAACCCATGTCAAAACATAACATATCGAGACATTTGTTTTAACTAGCAACCATGGGCGTCCGCAGGATATATTTCAGGGGGCAAATATACTATATTTCTCACATTTTTCTTTCATTATAATATGAATGCTATTATAATTTTCCCTAGACAATCCAGGGGGTAACTGCCCTCCTCCTGCGGACGCCCATGCTAGCAACGTTTAGAGCAATCACTCTTTTTTTAGGTTTAATATGAAAATAAAATTAAAGCCTGATAAAGAGCATTTGTTCGAAACGTCGCTAGATAAACTAAATTTGCTACTATTTCAATGTTGTGTTTTTGCATTTATTTTATTTCATTGTTCTTATCTTCCAACATTGTGTGAATTTCAATTCTTATGAAAACTTTATTCTTCTGTCTGGCGTCCATTTTGGAAAGGTCAACAAAATGTCCCGGATTTACAGTCTGCACTGAATCAAACGTGACATCAACTATTTATTTCCATTTGGTCATGTGACCTGGGAGGCTCAGGTACACCTGAACTTCGACGTTGATTAGTATCGTTAAATTTTTGAATGCGCTCATCTAGCAAGCAGGACGTATGTGTCTTGTAGTAGCACAATGTTGATGAATCGACCCATCTCGCAGACCGCGTTAAAACTAAATCTGTTCACCCTATACAACAAAGTCTCAGCAGAAGTAAAACTTCTTATCAATAAACAGCATCAAGGAATACGGAACAAAATTTGTGAATCGGTAGCCAATGATCACAATCCAGCTACATTATGGGTAGAAATAAAATTATTTAATAAATTTAAACATATCCAAAACATCATTAGAATAATGAAACAACTAGATACAATACAATAATAATAAAAAAAACAAAACAGAAGTTTCCTTCGGACATCTACAAAAAACCATTCTTACTACCAGATCACAATACACGCGATGGCTTTAAAATAACAACTGAAAAATTCATACCAAATAATAAAAACATATTTAACAACAATTCTCCACTTGACACACGTACACCACTTAAACATCTGTTTATATAACACTGGAATATGATCTAATTACATAACTAATATTGCTAAAAAAAAAACAAATCACTTGACGAAGACGACATCAAAGTCGTGGCTTCTCATTGGTCATATTTAATCTTATGTTCTGGACGCATTCCCACAGCATGAAAAACGGTTTCAGCAGTCATGATACCTAAACAGACAAATCATAATAATACTCAGAAAAGAACAGAGCAATCACCTTAAAACCAATTCCATCGGTAAACCATTGGAAAGAATAATCACAGATCAGTTATCAAGTCTTTTTCGAAATTAAGAAATATAAAATAGTTTCAGGAAAAAAAAACAATTGAACATTTTACAGTAATGAAAACATTATCGTATATTGTCCCACTGTTTAACTGAAAATACTATCCCTTACACCTATTTTATCACTAATGCTTATAACAACATGTGATAAATGACGAATCTATTCTAGCTAAGCAAAATACATTTCTGGTATATAGTCATATCATGCGTTTTTTTACCTTTTTATATTGTTGCGTCATCGAGATCACGTGACTATTCTCA